ATTTGTATGTGTTTGTATATGGACGTATGTGTTTGTTGATTTGTTGATTGTATATATAAAGATTTGCTGGAACGTATGTGTGTGTATAAGTATTAATTTTGTTACAAGCAGGTGGGTATGTGTGTATATATGCATGTGTGTGTATGTATGTATGTGTGCGTGTGTGTGTAAATTTGTATGTGGTTGTATATCAATGTGTGTGTTTTTGTTTGTATGTGTTTGTTGGAACCTATGTGTGTGTATAAATATTAATTCTCTTACAAGTAAATAGGTATGTGTATATGTGTATGTGTGTGTGTGTGTGAATGTGTGTGTGTATGTATTGGCGTGTACGTGTGAACGTGCGTGCAACTTTTATGTGTGTTTTATTATTCATATATGTATTTGTGGTTGCATTTTATTGCCTTCGTAATCGTCCTTACCATCATCATCGTCATCATCATCGTCATCATCATCATCGTCATCGTCATCTTCATCGTCATCATCATCATCATCATCGTCGTCTTCTTCATCATCATCGTAACCATCATCGTCATCTTCTTCATCATTATCATCATCATCGTCATCGTCATCTTCCTCATCGTCGTCATAAACAATTAATCATCTTTAATCATTCCGTTAATCCTCATCTTCGTATCTATTGACCGGTCTGCGTGATTCACTCATCATTTATTGATGGAAACCGGATTGATGGATGTGACGACGACGACGATGATATATTATTATTATTGTTATTATTATTATTGTTATTATTATTATTATTGTTGTTGTATTATTGTCGTTGTTGTTGTTGTTTGTATTGTTTTTTTAGCGACAAAATGAAACGCGAAACATTATTTCAAATTTTTCATTTGAATTCTGAAAGTTGTGATCGAGAGAAAATGTGAACATCTAGAAAAAAAAATAAAAACAAAAATATGTTTATTATTATTATTATTATTGTTATTATCATAAAAATATATATATATATAATATTATAATATATATATATATATATATCACTAAGAATGATGATGACTTCATTAGTTATTGCTGTTGCCATCTATCATCATCATCATCATCATCATCATCATCATCATCATCATCATCATCATCATCATCATCATCATCATCATCATCATCATCATCATCATCATCATTGTAAGAATAGATGTGACGTGATGATGACGATATGAAAAGTATTAAAAGTGAGTTTATGTTGTAAAAGAATTCGTAAAGTTTAAGTGATTTTTTGTGGTGAGTCTTATAAGTTTCTATTGTTTCTTAGATTCGTTCAATCGTTTGTTTCTTCGTTCGTTCGTTCGTTCGTTCATGCATTCAATCATTCATGCCTTCTTTCACTCATTCAATTATTAATTCATTTATTTGCTCATTTATTCATTCATTTATTCATATGTAAGCTTTATTTTTCAGTAAACTTCCTAAGGCACTTGATTCGATAGAAATCGTCGGGCGTAAGGATAGAATCTGTTTCCGTATAGCGTCATGTTTGCTGGAGGCCTTGCAGCATTTTGAAAGTATTTTGCCTCATAGAACGGAAAAGGTAACACCGGAAGCTGACTGCTCACGTGATTAGCTACATCCGGAAGTACATTACCAATGCTGTTTGCCACCTCCGGAAGTAGGCTACTCACGTGATGACCCATTTCCGGTTTGTCTACTGACCAGTGTTGTCTCACGTGATCAATGTACTCTTCCGGTAGGGAGAAAATTTTTGTGCAGTTGTAGTTGACTGGCGTTGAAAGGAGTGGACATGTGTAAGAGCGCAAGAGAGTGTTGCTGTTGGTGTTGTTGTTGATGTTGTTGTTGTTGATGTTGTTGTTGATGCTGTTGTTGTTGTTGATGCTGTTGTTGTTGTTGATGCTGTTGTTGTTGTTGACGTCATTCTTGCTTATGTTGTTCGTATTTGGAGATGTTGTTGAGTTGAGTGCAAAATTTGTTGTCGGCTGGTTAAATTTTGATGTGGAATTCAACATAAGATGTTGAGAAAACATGTTGTTGATGTTGTTGTTGTTATTGTTGCTGTTGTTGTTGTTGTTGGTACGCCCGTCATCGCCTGATGTGAAACTTTGAAACTTTGAATCGATGTTGTTAATGTTTTTGTTGTTGTTGTTGTTGCTGCTATTATTATTGTTGTTGTTATTAACGTTATTACTGTTATTATTTAATAACCCAAGAGTTGTTTTAGTCGCATAGAGTCTTAACAAGTTTTCGTAAAACACGTTCAAGTAGTAATAATAATCCAAATACGAAATGTTATTATTATTGTTATTTATGTTGTTGTTGTTGTTGATGTTGTTGTTTGTTAATGTAATTTGGGGAAATAAGCTAGATGTTGGTGGTAGCAGGTAGTTGATGTATGGCAGGTTGTTGTTGTTGTTGTAAAGATGATTAATATTGTTAAGCAAGTTGTTGTTGTTGATGATGTTATTGTTGATGTTGTTGAAAATATTGTTGTATAGAAAATGCGGCTGCTCTGAATGATTGTAATGATGAGGTCTGGTTGAATGGGAAACCTCTTGAAAATATAAAGGGTTGTTGTTGTTGCTGTTATTATTGTTGTTGTTGTTATTGCTGCTGCTGTTGTTGTTAGAGTTTATCTTTTTGTTGTTGTTTGTTGTCGTAGTAAACTTTTTGTTAAAACTATTGTTGTTGTTGTTGTGTAATTTAGGCTTTTTGTTCGTAACCACTGATGAAGATGATGATGTTGATGATGATGCTGCTGCTGATGCTGATGATGTTGATACTGATGATGACGACGATAATGTGGATAGAGATTGCAGTGATAATGATAACGAAAATGATGATGATGATGACGACGACGACGATGATGATGATGATGAAATAGCTTTCGCTACACTGCAACTATTTGCAGACGATAGTAAATATTTCTTCAATCTGTCTGTCTTAATCGCCTTCCCATCATCATCATCATCGTCATCGTGG